ACCTGTGTTTGCTGGACTAGAAGGCGTATCTTCTGCACCCCAGCTCCCGCTCCAATCCTTCTGAAGCTCATTCTTGCTCGGATGCATTTGTGTGTGAAGTTGCATTCGCAGGAGGTAAGACAGGTGTGCAGCGCGTAGCAACAACACAATAACGACTAAACACCAGGCGGATTTTCGTTTCCTGTTCCTCTCCAGCTTTCTTAGAAAATTTACCAGCGCAGCAGATCACCCAATGAAGCAGATAGGATTTCGATTCGTTTTGTTTACATTTTACTCTTAAGATCCTTCCACGCCTAGAATTCATTGATAGATTTTTCTTTTCAGCTATCTGATTTTACATTTCCCTCCAGAGTTGGAAGAGTATTATGACATATGCAGAATCTATTCCCTGAAGGGTGCTACATAGACAGATAATTATGTTTCCCCCATAAAACCCATTTAAAATCCCTTTTAAAACACATATGATGGGCACCAGCAGGTGGCATGGTGGTTAAAATTCTGAATCCCCCATAACCAACTGCGCAGTTCAAGTCCCGGACCTGGCAGTTTTGAAAACATGCCAGTTGCGTGTGCATGCGCGTGTGCGTGCGTGCCCAAAATCCCAAGAGGAGAATGGAGGAGAAGGGAGTGCAGCTTGGCCATCCCCCAGGGGGTGTTTCTCACTCTCATGTTTAGTACATGTGCCCTATAGCAGAAAGCTAAAAACCTAAAACACACAGGGTGCTCTCCCAGAGGAAAGCACAGTGACCCCATTTCAGGACAGGTCCCTCCGGACAGCCTGTGTTTGCAGGCCAGGGAGCCCCCAGTGGAGGGTGTGAGGGAGAGGTGGCCAAGGCCGGGCTCTGGGGGAACTGGATGTCCCCGTCAGTCTTGTCCACAGGCAACGGGGAGCCATGTCAGCCTTCTGAGCCAATGACTGACGCGTTGGATTACCGTCCATGGACCCTGGGAGGAGCCTCGTCCATCCAAAGCTAGAAGCCCCGTGACTTCATCCTCCGTCCCACCCGAACCTCCCTCCCCCACCATCTCTCTTTTTTCCCTTCTTCTCTCCACCATTTTCTTAATAACCAGAGGGGGTGTGCCCTGACCACAGACAGAGGGAGACGGTGCCCCCACCCCTGCCCCTTCACTCTCCATTCTTTCGGGACCCTGGCACACCCCACATGCACCTAGTGGTACGGTTCTCAGGCCGCCAGGATTCAAACCACAGCTGGTCATGTGGGATCCAGCTTCCGTCCCCACTAGGCTACGGGGCAGGAGGTGAGTCCAGAGGCTGGAGGCCAAGTTAGAGAGGCACCGCAGGCAGGGCGTGTTGGGACCAGGCATCACTCTGACCGATGAGGGTCGTAGAAGGGATTTCAGCAAGGGAGTGCTCTGGCGAGGTCACTTGGGCCCTGATGTAGATGGAAGGGGTCTGAGCGAGTCAATCTGAGGTTCAAGGGAAGAGTGGAGGCTGGAGAAACAGCCGGGTGACCGCACAGGTGAGTGGTTGCTACGTCCACAAGTACCCCGAGGGCCGTGGTGTGCTGGGAACACGGTGACGGGGGAGAAATAACCGCCATTTACACATTTAGATCTAGTTTGTATCTCACTCGGCAAACACATCAAAAGGCACGTTCGTTTCCTTTCCTGGAATTGCTTTAGAAACATCTCTGTCTCCCTGAAAGCGGAGGGTGCATACCTGGCTCAGAGTCTGCCGACATGAAATGCAGTGCAGATGGCGTTCTGCAGTTTCTGACTCTCAGGTGACCCGCCAAGTCGTCCGCGCCGGTGTTTCGGAGAACACACGAGCGAGGACCTAGAACTGTCCTTAGTACGTGATAGGCAACCAGCCGGTATTTATCGTTCTCGAACCTAGAAAGGCGATCGTGAGAGTAGAATTGACTCCGGGAAGGGCGCGGAGCTGGGAGTCTGACGGCAAACGTACCGCACAGACACTCAACTTCGCGCTTTGTCCAGGTCACCTAGAACACACCCCGAGCCTTGTCACAGCGCAGAGGGTTTTCTTTTCCCACCCAGCCCTCAGACCTTCAGCCAGGCGCTGTCACCGCTGTGGTTACTGAAGGGACCGGAAAGGGCAGATTAGAGCGGAGGGTTGGAGGGTTTTGTCTTAAACGGCGGTCTTACGGGAGAGCCTGCAGAAGACCCAGAGCCCTTTGACACGATCACGTAACAACTTCCGCTGCTCGTGAGAAGTGGATGGTGTGACCAGCCTGGTGACCAGCCCCTGTGGCTTTGCCGAGATTCCCCGTGGCATACGCCGCCACCGGGTACACGGCGAGGAAGAGAACCATCACGCCGCCGTGCGGGGTCCCTTGCTTCCATGAGCCAGGCTCGCTAGCTGTTTGGGTTTGGGTTTGGGTTTGGGTTTTAGAAAGCAGGTGGAAACCTGCTGCTCAGAGACAAGGATATGAAAGTTTTGTTGGCTGTCGCGCCCAGGCCTCCATTTACGGGAGATCGTGATAAGAGAGATCACAACCTTTGCTTCCTTGACGGCCAGCGGTGGCAGCAGAGGCTGGGGGACAGAGGGAAGCGGACAGAATAAGAACTGAGCCCGGCGAGGCGGCCCACGTCAGTGCTTCAGGCGACGCCTGCACGACTTTGCGTATCGTATGCTCCATAGGTGCTCGCTCTTTAAGGCGCTGTTAAAAGTGCAACTTGAATGCATTTTGTGTGTGTGTGGATTTGCTGCCTGATCACAGGTCACTAGTGTCCCACTGGCTTTTTCAGGGCCTTTCAGTGGAAAATAGAGCCCCTCAAGGCAGGCGCAACAGGGCCCCTGAAATGGCAAGGCCTGGTACAGTGCTGGCATCGGTCATGGCGCTGGGGACTTGATGTCTACGGGAGCTGGAATTCTGAGTTTGCCAGTGGGACCTAGGGCACTGGGACCCAAGGGGGATACATAGCGTCCGTCCAGAAATGACATTCCGTCTTCACTGGTGTGAATTGTAAAATAATACAAAGGGTCTGGGCTCTAGAATGCTGGCTGGACACCTCTCCATGTCCCCAGTGGGGTCCTTAATAACAATGGCCAACTTAGAAATGACAAAATTAAATCTTTAAAAACAAAATAAAACCTGATTGTGAATTCAGAAGGCAGGTGAAGCCAAGCTCTTGGAAATCAGATCTCCCAACTTCGAGGTTGATCACTGTGG